CCAAAATCAAATCATTTCAGCTTTTGTTCTCGATAGTATTCACCATGCGTTACATCTTACTCACACTGAGAATGGAATTACTAAGATCATCCTAACAACAATTCCAAGCAATACCAATAATTACCAAAATCCAAACAATTACATCCATTAGCATGAACAATCAGAACTTCAAATCCAAGCGTGCTCAGAACATTACTCGATCATAAAACTACAAAAGAGGACTAGTAGGTGATAGCATTCCTTTTCTAAATTTCAAAAAACAACCAATTTGCCATAATCTATAATAAATTAAAGCTCCATAAATTGGACTTGGGTTCTTCAGTTCCACTGAAATCAACTCAATTCCAACTAATGGGTATTTCTTTTTACTCCCTCAGATCCAAAAAGACATTACACCACAGTAAATCAAACTAAAATTCACGCTAAACGAAACAATTCGTTACCAAATCAAATGGCCCCTTCGGATTCATAATTCTACAAATACTAACTAAAACAAACAGGGAATTTGGGTTTTGATATAGGTGTACCGTTCAGAGAGCTGGTGGCCGACCTGATATCCAATGGCCTCGATCCGACGGGCCGCTAGCTCAGGCTTATTGGCGTAGAAACGGTTGCAATATGTTGAAACCATTTCGGTCAGCAGGCTATCGATGCAGCTTTCTGATACCTCTCTCCCCATTTGGCTCTTTTTCTTTTTTCTCTTTAATGGAAGAAAATGGTTTTCGCTTTCTTTTACCGCTTGTTCTTCTTCTCCTCTCTAAATTTTGTACACTTTTTTCCCTTTTTCCTTTTTTTTTTTGTTTTTTTTGGTAGTTTGGGCCTAAATTCTAATGGCCTTTCTGTCCCCAAAGTTCCAATTGAACTTTTGGATTAAATCTTCCGGCCCGGGTTCGGGAGCATTGCTTCTTTAGACTTGTCTACATTATGGATTTATCAACCTAAAATAAAAATAAAATTATTTTAAATAGACTTGAATTGTATGTATATATATATTAAATTAAAAAAAATTTATGTTAATATTATGATACTTAATTATTGTTTAAGTATAAATTTATAGTTAATTTGAAATAACAATTTGAAAAAAAAGATATTCAATTTTAACTTAAGTCGAATTTAAATCTAATAAGGTTAATGATTGTAATATAATATCATATCTCATTTTTTAAAGAAATTAAAAAGTTTTTTTTTTATTTTTAATTCTTGGCACGGCCATGGGATGGTGAAAGATGTACAATGTGGCATAAGTAATGACATCGGATATGCAAGAAAAATATTACTATATATTTAGAGTTTAGAGACAACTCAATTTGTATTTGAAATAAAAATCATTTTATTATTCAAAATTTTTCTTATTTGACTGATGTGGGATTGAATTGTCTTGTTTACTTGCGCTTGGCATGATAACCTATCTCACCTAATTTGACGATGCTCTTGTCATCGTTGGTTTAGGTTGGATTCACTATGATATAATTTTGTTACAGGATTATTATCCTCTCTCTCCAAAAGGCTAAGTTGATAAGATGTGCAATGCCATGCTTATAAACTTTTTAAAATCACCTTCTTATTTGATGTGAGATTAAATCACTTTACTTAGTTCTTTTGCAATGCTTGGTGTGGCATCGATCTAGACTGCTCAAATTCTATCAAAGAACAATAATTAATTTACTAGTTTTGGTATGAAAAAGAAATTAATTTAAAGAGTTCAAGCATTAATATATAGTTTTTTTTATAATTAAGGAAAGGGGGATTCAAACTTTGCTCTTTAAGTAAAAAGATAATGTACTAACCAATGAGTTAAATGTTCAAGTGTAAGCATTAATATATAGTTAGTATTTTTATTTTGCATGATAAAAAGGGAGAAGGAGGGGCTCCCTAGATGCAAAAATAAAAAGTGTAATTGAACTTGAGTGAAGCTCTCTCCATTCTTTAATTGGTTGATGTTGCTTTTGCTATTGATTCAAAGTTTGAAACCCTGCTGAATATCGTGCTTAAATTCATATTTGTGAGCAGTCAGAACTTTATGTTCCTTGGGAAAAAAGGAGTATTAGAAACTTATTCTTTAATTTGTAGAGGTAAATATGAAGCAAACTCTATTAATGAAAACTGGAGTACAAAAATCAATCCAGATAAAGAATTTTATTTTTTTGGTTTCCCTTTCTAGGCTCATAGAGAAAATCACTTTATTTATTAATTCCACACATCAACAAAACATAATATGCTAAGGGAAAGCTAAGGGAAATAAGCTTCTGTTTAGCTGCAATATTGATCATACTTGAGTTGAGATATATAACTGAAGGAGGCGCAGACCGTCATTGCTATGGCGGAGGGCAATCACAAACACAAAATCCGGCAACGCACAGGACCGGACACCGTCCACGGTAGCTGCAAGCATCTAGACAGTCATGTTGTTTATTGCATGGATGTCCCTTTGAAAGGTCAACCAATGCTTCGGCTTCTGTTTTGGCTGCAAGAAGAAAATTAATATAAATCCGCTAGTTATGTTATTTATTTGAGTCGACTAATCTTTACTAGAAAATGCAGCGAAGAATAAGGGAGAGAAAGGAAGAGAATAAGATACCAAAGGCAACAATGAGCAGAGCTATGAAGCAAGCCAATTTAAGTGAAGTACTCTTCTCCATTTCTTTGTTGTGCTTACAACTAATTAGAAGGACCTATCTATTTATAAGGGAAAAAACTTCATGCATGGGGTCCACTATAAAATCAGAACAAAAAAAAAAAATTCAATGGGGAAGAATATTAATACGAAGGTAAATATATATATATATATATCTCTTCATACTCTTAGTTGCATGTGATTTACAGCAGGTTTTGACTCTTCTTTGTCTTTTATGTTGGCTCATGTATGGCTTGTATACCTATAGGCTACCAACCATAGATTACGGGGCTTCAAGTTCCGAAGAGTTTGGAGTTAATGTATATTTTGGTCCTTCCCTTTCTTTTTTTTCTTAATATTAAAACAGAAACAATAATTGCCAACTAGTGTTGTGTTGCATGTATATTCTCTAGCCACTGTGAATTCGTACTTTTATTTCTTTTATCCACAGAGACAATATCACAAAGAATATTTCCACATCTGTAGGGATTGCGTTTGATCTTCCTATATTTTTGTCGACCAGGAAATTTTCATACTTAACCATCCAAAGTTAAAAGTTACTAATGGAGTTTTAGTAGTCTAAGCTATTGAATGCCTAGGTCATTAGCCTAAACTAGAATACAGAATATCCAGCTGGCTACTTTAATTTATATTCCTAGAGCTGGAAACCCACATTTTAAAACCAAAATTAGGTAACCATATATATATTAATTTAAAGACAACAATGAGTTTCACAAAACTTTCATTATATGCCTCATAGGTCAAAAAGTTTTCCAGATTCATATTATTCCCTTTTCAGAACGACATCAAATAAACAACTTCAAGATAATTTGGTTATATAGTTTATTGATGCTCGCATAACAAGTTTTTTGTTTCATTATTTCTTTATTTTACTTTATTATTTTCAAAAAAAGATTTAAATTTTATTTTATTTTTACAAATAATAAGTACAATTATCATTTAAGTCAAATAGATATAAACTTTTATTTTTATTTTGGAATAATGAAAAAGATTATTTATCATAATGTGTGAGTTTGAAAATTCAAATGCTCAACGTAAAGAGTTGTCAATTTTTTAGTTTATATATGATTGGTTATATAATTGAATTCATCTTTCCTAATAAGAACTTATACTTAACTTAGCTAGATTCATTAAAATAAATACGTTCTAATTTATGAAACAGATTTAAATTCGGGAGTATGGTTGTATTAGCACTCTCACTATTCATGTTTAAAGAATGATTTTAATTAGTCATATGTTACTCTATTTTCATTGTTGATAAATAAGTCTTAACTTCATATTTAATTTTATTTCGCTTAATTATTTTTATTTTTTATTCTACCTTTATTTCTTCTTTTTAAATGTTGAAAATTTTTCTTTAAATTTTTTGAAGGCAAAAACTAAAAGATTTCCATAACCTCAAGAACAATAAAAAAACATAAAATTATTTCTTTGAAGAGATTCCCTCAACGGATTAATTATGAAAAAGAATGTTTAGGTCAAATCCATTTTTCTATTTTTACCCTTTTAGATTTTTTATATTATTATTTTTATAAATAAAAATCCTTTGATGTGGAAATATTTTTTGAATTCTCTAGCACTTTGAGTAGAGTTTAACAAAAATTTCATCTAGGAATTTTTAGGAAAATTATCACTCACAACTTGCTTAAAATGTCTTCATCGAAGAATTTTTTTTTGTATTTTTTATACCTTTTATTTTTATTTATTTATTTTATTTTATTCCATCAATAGAGATTCTTGTGTTTTTCTATATTCAAGATTCAATTTTTTTTACTAGGCCATTAAAAGAATTTTCAAACATAAATTATAATGAATATATTTAATTTTCTTCTACAAACATATGGAAACAATATTCTATTGTGAGACTAAACATCTGAAGTTTAGGCTTGACAAGTTTCTATTTTCTCCTAATAAAGATTAAAAGAGAACTGGAAATCCTAATTGGAAGTGGAAACGATTAGTACCATAGTGTATTGCTTACACCGCCAATACTTATCGTACGTAGCCCAAGCCACTTCTGTCTTCCTAGTTCGGCTTGTACAAGGGAAAGTTTTCCCTTATATATATCCCCACATGCATGATGCATGAGGCAGTTCTAAGCCATAGCCCGTAGCCAGAATTTCCTTCAAGCTTATTGTTTCTCTCTCGGAATGGATACCTCACTTCGTTCTCAAGTTCTTGTCCTCGGCTTCCTCGTTCTTGTTCTTCTTTCACCTTCATGCTATGCTGGTATTCTTAAGACTTGCCAGTTTGATGCCATATATCAGCTGGGGGATTCCATATCGGACACTGGAAACTTGATCAGAGAGGACCCTTTATCTCCGTTTGGTAGGCTTCCCTACGGTCAAACCTTCTTCAAGGATGCAACGGGGAGATGCTCCAATGGCTTACTCATGATCGATTTTCTAGGTAATTTGGTGCTTTATTTTTCCTTTTTGGGTCTCATTAGATACAGAAAACAAGTCGTTCCTATGAATAAAAATTATTCAAGAGACTTAAATTAATAAAATCCAGTTCCTTTCATGAAATTCAGTACGCTCTTTAGTTGTTCAAATTATGCCAGTCTTTAATTGGTGGAGTGTGAGATTCTCCTATTCCTTGGTCTGATTTACTTTAGTATCTTAATTAAAGAGTTTTAAGTTTTGAAAAAGTCACCGGAAAGCTCATGATATTTGTCTTAAGGTGCAAGCCAATGACCTCAATTATGGTTCTTTATACATGTGTCCACCTTTCCAGAACTAATAAGCACGTTATGTTCAGCATAAACCAAAACTAGGACTTGTTGTTTATCTAATAAACGAAGCTGCGTTGTACTTTGACAGCTCTCTCTGCTGGAATCCCCTTTCTTGAACCCTACTTAAATAGCGATGCACTATTAACTCGTGGTCATGGGGTGAACTTCGCGGTTGCTGGCTCTACTGCTTTACCTGTGGAAATTCTAGCTGAGAACAATGTTCTAGCCCCAGTTACCAACACTTCTCTTAATAGGCAGCTTGACTGGATGTTTTCCTATTTCAATGGCATATGCCGCGATCAGGAAGGTTAGTACTCCTTTCTAAATAATTGGCCAATAATTGCTCTAATCAACATTTACATGTATTAGTTCATTAATTATATACCGTAACTAACAATGACACATATTATGTTTTGTTTGATAGATTGTTTCAAGAAACTTAAAACATCTCTTTTCATGGTTGGAGAAATTGGAGGAAATGATTATAATTATGCTTTGTTCCAAGGTAAAACTTTTGAGGAAGTTAGATCCATGATGCCTAAGGCTATTCAAGCCATAAAAGATGCAGTCACTGTAAGTTTCTTTAAAAACAATAACCATCATCTAATTTTTCATCTCAATAATTTATTATAATTACTTTAATATTGACCAACTTTTCATTACAGAGAGTCGTTGGTTATGGTGCTACTCGAGTGATTGTTCCTGGAAACTTTCCCATAGGTTGTTTACCAATCTACCTTACGGGATTCCAATCCAATGATTCCGCTGCTTATGACGGGTTTCATTGCCTAAAGGGCTTGAACGAGTTGGCAATCCATCACAATAACCTTCTCAAACGAGCCATCAAAGAGTTGAGGAAAGATCTCCCTAACGCGATCATAGTATACGGTGACTATTACAATGCATTCCTACAGCTTTTGCGCAAAGCTGAACTACTCGGTAAATTTCTTTTACATTCATAAATATAGTTGAGAAATTAATATGGCTTAGACTAGAATCAATTGTTCTGATTTGCATGTACTTTTTGTTAACCAATATGAACAGGTTTTGACACCAAATCGACCCAAAAGGCTTGTTGTGGGATTGGAGGTGATTACGATTACACCCTTACCAGAATGTGTGGAGCTCCCGGCGTGCCAGTGTGTTCAGATCCTGATCAATATGTGAGCTGGGATGGAGTTCATTTGACACAAAAGGCTTACAAGTTCATGGCAGGATGGCTCATTCGTCACATCTATCCGGAACTTCAATGCCCTGCTTGACTTGGTTTTGTTAATTTTGTTAGTTAGTTTATGTAGTACATATTCAACAAAATTTCCGAATTTCAAGTCAGATAATAGATAGGTCTCAATTGGACTTGTTCCAAATTACCATATCTCATTATTTCTTTTCTTTTCTTTTCTTTTTTTCTTAAAATATGTACTTTTTATTGAAAATTTTAAAAAATCTACTCTTCATTAATTAGTAGTAGTAATGGAAAAAATGGTTTTGGATTGAACCATAAAGTGATCAACAATTTACTTTATTTGTCAGACAGTTAACTAAATTTATAAAACAAACACAAACCCATATTAGTTATCCATCCATATATGATACCGTGGAGGCTTTTCCTTTGAAGCAATAATTCAAAAGCTTTTGCTAATATGTCTTTAGAGAAGCCAACAGTTTTTCAGATGCTTTAGCAACATTGGGGATGGAGAGACAAGACATGTTCTGGACTGTATGATCGGGGAGGAAGTTGCATTCTTAATCTCATATGAATTAGTGTTTCAGTTCATATGGTCCTAGTAAGGAGTCCATGTTGCTGTCAGTGTCCGGTATTTTTGTTGGTTATCTTATGTGTGTGGTAGGCCAATGATTAAGAAAATGCTATGTTTAGATTAATTTTGTTGGTTTTGTTTTTTTTTTCTCAACCAAATAGGATTCATGTTATATCATGGAAGAACTATACAGTGAGCCTAGTCATAAGCTGTGGGCAAACAGCTGCTTACATCAAAGATATCAAAATTGCCGACTAAGCATGCAGTTAATAGAAAAACAGGTTTCACTGTACTGCCATTGACATAAAAGAAAAACAGAACAATATATGAAACTAAGCACATAGAGAGAAAACAAAACTCAACACCACATTTACCTCCAAGCCGATAAGTGTGATGTTCTATCGACTCCATACCTTGCAAGAGAGTTGGCAAGCGCATCACCCTCCCAATACCGATGTTGGACTTGATCTAGAACATAAATCTCAATTTAATCATGAAAAATATTTCTCCCCCTCACTTTTTTCCATTATATATAAGTCTATTGTTGCAATCCATAAATAACTAAAGTAGAGAGGAAGAGGACTTCAGGAAGCCATTTTTTGGAAACAAGCATAGGGAAGAGAGAACCCATGACCGAAAATGAGATTAAGCCATTTCTTGGAAACGGCTTTGAATGTAAGCAGAGATTCAATTGGTAGTCGTTCGAAAATTTCAATTACCAGATTCTCGTTGTTCAGAACCTTCTCAACAGAAGTTTATTGGTTCTTAGAGCTCATTTCTTGGTCCTCTGAGGAGCTGGAGATGGGAGCAGCGGATTCGAAATGTGCTTTCAGGACAATGAACGTTTTGAAGAAGGAAAAAGGGGCAGCAGCACTTAAAGTACATTTCAATTAGCACTAACTACTAATTTTATCCACTTAACCTTCAATATTTGTAACAATGAATATGCAACTCAAGTTAGTATATCTTGGTCTAAATTAAATAAATTCTTTTTTGACCTCTCATCACATGTAATATGAAAATGACAACAAGGACGCACATGGATCATTTATGTAGTCAGTTTCCTAATAGTCAAGAAAACTGCTTAATTAATTTATGGACATGCTACCATGGAGAGAGATGACTACTAATATATCACATTGAAAACAGGATATGCTGCTAAATTATAAGACAATAGCCAAAAACCCCACAAACTAATTACTTTAAAACTGAAATCTTGCTATGGCCGCAAGGAATTTGTTTCCTTTTTTCTTTTATTCATTAATTTGCTTCTTTTGGTACATTGCAAGAATTTGGTTTTTAGTAATATTGGTAGATACTAAAAGAGATAATGAAAGGTATCGCATTTTTACCAAGTATAAGAAAGAAACATGCTTATATTTTTAATTCAAAATTGAATATAAAAAATATATACTATTGTATATTAAATAATTAAGATGATAACTTAAACCAATTAATTCAGGCAAAGCTTTGCAAGCCTGGAACGGAATAAACCATAAGAATAACCGTAATCATACTTGATATGCTTTGGATTTTCCTTTTTTAAGGAAATAAATAAAAGAACCATGTGAAATAGTAGAGCAATAAATTAGTCGCCACGTTTTGTTATATGTATCTATTTGATATGCTTTGGATTTTTCTTGTTAAAGTAATAGGCCTGGGATCTTGTTCAACCATTTTGAAAGGCTATATAAACTTCATTTTGGGTTGCCTAATTATATGCAGTACAAGCTTGAAGCAAAGGGATAGATTACAGAGATGGAAGTCCAAATTATCTCTCGAGAGACCATCAAACCTTTTTCGCCAACTCCAGACCACTTAAGAACCCATAAGCATAGTCTTTTAGATCAGCTAGTCCCTCCTATTTACCTCCCCATGATTCTCTTTTACTCGGCTACAGACAAAAATGATCCTAGAAATTATAATATTTCTGATTACCTCAAAAAGTCCCTATCCAAAGCCTTAACCCACTTTTATCCATTTGCTGGTAGGATCAAGGATGACTTAACCGTGGATTGTAATGATGGTGGTGTGACATTTGTTGAAGCTCAGGTGGCCTGTGACATGTCGCTTGTGCTTGAAGAGCCAGAGATTGAAGTACAACAGCTATTACCGTGTGCTCCATTCGAACATTCACCTCCAACTCTATCAAGTACTGATCAGGTAACACCGCTTGCTGTCCAAGTCAACTATTTTGCTTGTGGCGGTATGGCCATTAGTGTTTGTATTAGTCATGTTATAGCTGATGCATCAGCTGCAGCCCACTTTCTAAATGGCTGGGCTGCAGTTGCTCGTGGAGCTGATAACATTGAAGGTGTGATTTATGATTCTAGCTCTCTCTTCCCTCCACGAGATTTATCAATGTTTCGGAAGCACGTAGGGAGGCTTGTGGACGAGAATAAGAAAGTGGAATCACCTGAAGATAAGTTTGTTACAAAGAGGCTCTTGTTTAATGGCTCTAAAATTACTGCTCTAAGAAATGAAATAGGAGATGGACTCAACTTGTATCGTCCAACCCGTGTTGAGGCTGTGACTGCGGTTGTTTGGGAAGCCCTCATAAATGCAACTGCTGAAAATGATGGACGTGGGACCTCGCCAATACTTGCGGTATCTAATGCTATGAATTTAAGGAAGAGAATGAATCCCCCACTCCCACAGCAATGCATCGGTAATGTTAGCTTCTCTAAACTGGTAAGTTCACTGAACGTGAAGATAAAAAATCGCAGCAATCTGGCAAAAATAGTTCATGAGTCTATAAAAGAGACGGATGATGAATACATAAGGAAGACGTTCACAAGGGGTGAATGCCTTAATTTAATGGAGAAAATATGTGAGAAATTTGAAAAGAATTCGAAAGTAGGGATGTTCATGTTCAGTTGTTGGTGTAGATTTCCATTTTACGAAGTTGATTTCGGATGGGGAAAGCCCACATGGTTCGAATGTCCCTTGAGGGCTAACCGAGTTGGCTTTTTTGTGGATACGAGTGATGGCGAAGGAATAGAAGCATGGATAACATTGAGGAAAGAAGAAATGGCCAAACTTGAAAAAGAACCTGGCATCCTTGCTTATGCCACTTTCAAGCCAAGCATATGAAGAAATTGTTCACTTCTCCTCATTTAGGAAATAAATGCTACAATAACGTCCTTTCTCTTAAAGTTAAATCAAGACTTTAAGCTGGTCCTTGCATGTTTCAGAAGTCAGATAATGTTTGCCTGCTACAATAATTGTATTCCTTTACTACAATGTTACACTCGTTTGTAATAAATTTCTCTGTTTCCATGATGAGTTTTCAATTTTTTTTTGATTTGATGCAGCAAAAAATGTAAACAAAGCGTGATATATTCCCTGTTTATAAAAAAAAATATAAAATCTCTTTATAAGATCTAATAATTGAAGACCTTCTCTCTTTTGATTTTCTTCATAATTTGCTTCGTTTGATACATGGTAAGAATTAGGTAGTTTTTAGTAATATTGGTAGAAACTAAAAGAGATAACGAAAGGTAGTGCATATCAGCAAATTATCTTTGGTTGGGATAAGAAAGAAATATGTATTTTTAATTTAAAATTGAAGTATAAAGAATATCCCCCAAATATTATATATTAAGGATTTATATTTGATATGCTGATAATGTATAATTTCTATATACTGTAAGGTCATCATTAATGAAGTAAAATTAAAACAAAGATTTAAAATTAAATATTAAAAAGTTTCTTTAAAAATACATAAATAATAATTTTTTCTCTCTCTCTAACTCCCTCTCAACGTTGTCCTGTTCTCCTCTTCTTTTTATCTCTCCAACTCAATCATTTTCTCTTCTTTTTCTTCTTCCATTCAATAGTGAAAAAGCTTAGGAAAGTCTTAGCTCGACTTAATGGACGTGGGTTATGAAAGTCTGGGATTCTGGTTTCCATTTGGGACTTTGATTGCCAATGTTTTTGCTGCTTGTGTAATGGCAGCACTCTCCACAGTGAAAAGGCCTCTAAGATTTTTTTGAATGGATTCTAATTTTTCTACACAAGAATCACAAGGCAACAAGACATATATATTGTTCAATTGCAACAACCAAAGGTAAATCATAAGAAATACAAATGGGAATCGCATAAATTAAACTCAATAGCGTACAAAGAAAATTATATTTACGCTTGCAACAAAACTTGCCTGTCAATTCAATTGCCCAAAAGTCCTTTGAACAATATTTAATGCTAAATTTTATTTGGGGAAAGTAACAACCTGAGTAAATTCTTCAAAATTTTGTTAATGTATCAAAAATAAATCTTAATAAAATAAGAACCAATTTTTTTATCACATTGTAACCCTAAACTCAATGTAAAAATCACTTAAAAATATCTATAATATATATAAAAGTAAGATAACTGATTCGGTCAATTGGTTGATGCTTGTCATTCTCAATTGAATTAGTTTTTTTGGCACACCTTATGTCATCAAAATTAAATTATTTTTTACATTTGAAGGGTTTTTTATTATTATTTACTTTAATAAAAAGTACTTGAAAACAATAATTTTTAGCTTTTAATGCTTAGAGGATAAATTGATTTAATATTATTTTTTGTCTATATCCTCTTATTCTGCATGAATTTGAATCCACAGTATTTATACATCTCTTTTATATATGAATGTTTAAATTCTAATAAATATCCATCCAATTTATAGAACAAAATAAAAATAATCAAGGAAGTCTATCCATTTCTCAATATACGTAGCACACATTAATCATTGAATAAACAAATCAACTAAATTTGACAACTTTTGACCATTTATTTTATATATAAAAGATAGATACTATCAGAAATTAGTAAATATTTTATATTGATAAGATCTTTACATTATACTATTGCTTTATATTTTACAACTTTTTATCTTAATCTGTTAATAGTAAAGGTTATATACTCTCTTATTTCTTAATATTTTGTTATGCATCTAACAATATTTGATAGAATTATTGTCTTGCTTGGATAAGTACTGTTCTATAATCATACATGTAAGTGTCAGTTTTCAGTAATTGAAACTACAGCAAGTAACTATCTTCAATTAATATTAGTTTATGTTTACTCTACTAGCAAGAACCATATATTCATGCAGTTCAATAATACAATATAGCACAACAACAAAAACCAAAAAAATGAAAATAAATGTATATGGCAAAAGGAAGAGCAAACAATCACCATAGTTAGACATATTTAACAATTGGGTAACATTTTATATTCTCTTAATATTTAGTACACGCTCTGCATATAAAAAGTTGATATACATCATCTAATATAAATAGAAACCTCCAAATTATAAATGTTATTCATTTTGTTTGAACAATATATTTTTAATGGAAAAAAAATACTAAATGTTTAATAGGGTTGTTATCTTCTTTGGTTAAGAATTGTTTTGAAACCATATATTTAGGATTGAAAAAAAGTAAATAACTATCTTCAATTAATATCAATTTATCTTTTCTTTTACTAACAAAAATCATACATTTATGCAGTTGATTAATACAATATAATTTTTACTACAACTCTTTTGAAGGTACAAATTAAAATTCACTCTAACATAACTTACATTTCCTATTATCTTTTCTGTAGCATAGCTAAGGACACCATCCTGGTATCACTAAAACCAATAAGTAAAAATTTTCTTGAAATCTTTAGCTCTTGAAGTTTTTTTTTTTGCTAGGCTGAAGTTACACAATTTTACCAACCTTGCTCTTAATAGAAGAAGAAAAAGAGGAGAAGAAGATGATGGTGTTGGAGAGAGATAAAAGAAGGAAGGAGTTGGAGAGAGAAAAAAATTATTGTTTAGGTATTTTTAATAAAAATTATTAATATTTAGTTTTGGTTTATATGCATTTTTAATGAAACTTTTAATATTTAGTTTTAAATTTTTTAAAAAATTTAATTTTATTTCTTTAAAGAGCTGATACATTTTGATGGCTGACCGTGTGTACTGTATAAAAACTGTACGCTATCAACCCATCAAATATAAATTTTTAAAAAATAAAAATTTATTTAAATTTTAATGAATAATTTAGGAGCTTTTTCAAATATTATGTCTTAAAACAAATAATAAAAGTGTGGCCGAAGAGCTTTCCATAGGAGATTTCATAAGATGCAGAGGGTCTTTTCTTTTATAAATGCTGGAGCCACGAGCTTGTGGATTTTCTTGACATAAAGAGAATCTCAAAAGAGAAGGATAAATGCATCTGATATTCATATTCTTTTTAGAGTAAAGAGGAACAATATGAGTTGGTTCATTTATTGTTGATTGAAACTTAAGCTCTTGATGCTAATTAATTTATTGGGATCTTGCTTGCAAAAAGTGTGGCTTTCACGTGTATATATAATAAAGGGACGAGGGGAGTATTAAAACAACCATGTGAAACATCAGGAAAATAAAAAAAATATTAAACAACCATGTGAAACAGTAGAGTATATTTGTAGTTCGAATCAAATATGTTTATGCATTTGTTACGCTTTGGATTTTATCTTTTTTCTTAAGTAAAGCTTTGAACTTGTGTCTTGTTCAACCACTCTGGGACCTGTATATTTCCAACCCTACATTTTAGGTAGCCTTACATAAGCTACACAAGCCTGAAGCTAATTAGGACGAATGACAGAGATCATGGAAGTCCAAATTATCAGTAGAGAAACCATCAAGCCTTCTTCGCCAACTCCACACCACTTAAGAACCCATAAGCTATGTCTTTTTGATCAGTTAACCTCTCCTACTTACATCCCCACGCTTCTCTTTTACTCCGCGAGAGATGGAAGCCCTAGAAATTGTATTTCTGATAACCTCAAGAAGTCCCTATCCAAAGCCTTAACCCACTTTTACCCACTTGCTGGTAGGATCAAGGATGGCTTAACCATCGACTGTAATGATAATGGTGCCACTTTTGTTGAAGCTCAGGTGGCCCGGGACATTTCATTTGTGGTTGAAGAGCCAGAGATTGAAGTTCTGCAACAGCTATTACCATGTGATCCACTCCGACATTTACCTCAAACTCAACCGAGTACTGATCAGGTACTGCTTGCTGTTCAAGTCAACCATTTCGCTTGTGGTGGCGTGGCAATTTGTGTTTGTATTAGTCATGTTGTTGCAGATGCAGCAGCAGCTGCCAACTTTCTAAGAGGCTGGGCTGAAGTGGCTTGTGGTGCTAACATAATTGAGGGTGTGATTTATGATTGTAGCTCCCTCTTCCCTCCACGAGATATATCACTCTTTTACAGGGTCATGGGGATTCTAAACGACAAGAATAATGTGGGATCACCTGCAGACAAAGTTATTACAAAGAGGTTCTTCTTTGATGGCTCTAAGATTGCTGCTCTAAGAAATGAAATGGGAGATGAACTCAACTCGTACCATCCAACACGTATTGAGGCTGTGACTGCACTTATTTGGGAAGCCCTTATAGCTGCAACTGCTGAAAATGTTATAACTACTCCAACACGTGCTGCATCTAATACTGTGAATCTGAGAAAGAGAATGAACCCTCCACTCCCACCTCAATGTATTGGGAATGCTTGTTTCTTTGCAATGGTAAGTACACCGATCGAGAACATTGAAAATCGTACAAGTCTAGCCAGTAAAATTCGTGAATCTATAAAGGAGGTAGATGATGACTATATAAGAAGGATATTCACCGGTGATGGATGCTTTCATAATCTTATGGAGAAAACATTTGAAGAATTTGAAAAGAGTTCAAACATAGGGTTGTTCTCTTTCAGTAGTTGGTGCAGATTTCCATTTTATGAGACTAACTTTGGATGGGGGAAGCCCATATGGTTTGGAACTACCATGAGGACTAATAGGACTGCCTATTTCATTGATACAAGTGATGGTGAAGGAATAGAAGCATGGATATCATTGACCAAGGGAGAAATGGCCAAACTTGATCAAGAACCTGGCATCCTTGCTTATGCTACTTTCAAGCTAAGCATATGAAGATATTGTTCACTTCTCCTCATTTAGGAAATAAATGCTACAATAACGTCCTTTCTCTTAAAGTTGCATCAATACTTTAAACTGGTCCTTGCATGTTTGAGAAGTCAGATAATGTTTGCCTGCTGCAATAATTGTACTTTAACTACAATGTTACACTCATTTGTAATAAATTTCTCTGTTTCGATGATGTGTTTTCAAATTTTTTATTTCTCTTTCTTTTTTTTGTTTTTTTATTTGATGCAGCAAAATTGTAAGATCCAATAATTCAATAATTCAATGCCCTGTTTATCAAAAAGTATAAAATCTCTTCGGAAGGTCCAATAATTCAATTACCTTCATTTTTTTATTTTCTTCATAATTTGCTTCTTTTGATACATTGCAAGAATTTGGTAATTTTTAATAATATTGGTGGATACTGAAAGAGATAATGAAAGGTAGTGCATATCTACAAAATATCTTTGGTTGGGATAGGACAGAAATATATATTTTTAATTCAAAATTAAATATAAAAATCTATATGATAGATTTTATATTAAAGATTTATATTTCATACTTTAAAAAAAATTATATTTGATACGTTGATAGTGTACAGTGTTAGGTCACCAAAATATACCACATTATTAATGGTAAAGTCTAAAAAGTCCTTACAAAATACTTTAAAAAGATACTTTGATCCTTCTTATTTCAAAATAATGTTTTTGATCCTTTGACTGTTAACACCTTTAATCCACAGTTAAAAAAATTAAATCTAATATTTCATAAATGTTTTAAAACATAAATATCTTTTATATTATTTTTTTAATTTAAACGTATTTTCTTTTGAAAATATAACAGTTCATCGATCCTTAAAAACCATAATTAGAAAAAAACCTTAAAATATTTTTATTTGAAGGCTTGAAAATTTGAAGCTTTATCTACCATAAAATTATAAACTCCTTTCTTGGGGTAAAGTATATTGTCATCAAATTTGATGGTGTCAGACTAAGAGATTAATTTTTTACTTGTAATTACTAATTTTATTAAAAAAATTTTACCCAAAATTTGTTCTTTGAAACTATGGTTTAGAGTGACCTAAAAAGATTTTGACTTAAGTACTATATATTAAAGATTTTAAGTTTATTTCTGCTCTGTCAAATATTGAATTTTATTAAGTATCAAAATGAGCCAAATTACCGTATTCATAAATCCTGTTCTAGAATTTTATAAAGTTTTAAGTTTTTTTCATTTTGTTAAATATTGAATTTTATTAATATCAAAATAAATTTTATTAAATTTTGGAAGGAAACATGAGTAGTTTTTTTTTTTTTAGAAAAAAGTATTTGTGTCCTAAAATATGTATGTAGTATTGGTTATAATTTTTTTTAAATGTTGACTAACTTTGTTAATAGTTAAGGATAAAAACATCATTTTGAAACAAGAGGAACCAAAATGTCTTTTTGAAGTGTTTTGAAGAGTTTTTGAATTTTACCCATTTCATTAATGTGGTAAAATTAAAATTGAGATTTAAAATTAAATATTAAAATGTTTTTTTAAATATATATAAAATAAAACTAAATATTAAAAAGTTTCTTAAAAAATTCAGAAATAATAATTATTTTCTCTCTTCAACTCCTTCTCAAAGTTATCTTTTTTCTACTCTCTTTTTTATCTCTCTCCAACTCCATCATTTTCTCCTCTTTTTGTTCTTCCATTGAGAGTAAATTTGACAAAATTATTGGTTAACTTCAATAGTGAACAAGCTTAGGAAAGTCTTAAGCTCGATTTAATGGACATGGGTTATGAAAGTCTGAGATTCTGGTTTCCATTTGGGACTTTAATTGCCAATGTTTTTGCTGCTTGTGTAATGACAGCACGATCTCCACACTGAAAGGCCTGATAAGATTTTATTGAATGGTCTTCTAATAATTGTGAACCACCGAGCAATAGTTTACAGATCATTGGAAGCAAATTTGAATTCTTATAAATATTTTAGCTTAAACTCAAGGGAATCAAGGTTCCTTGGCAAAGGATTTTAGATAATTAAAACAAGGCGTGATACTTTAAAAAAAAAATCTCTAAGTTATTTAAGAAAATTTAAATAAATGTTTATTTTTTATTATATTCAATTAAGATTTTATATATTTATTGTAAGTTAAATAAATCTTTATAACTAATAGTTAATTAATTATTATTAATTAAAATGTTACTTGTCATTTTATGTCATGTGTTATTAACGTGATATGTTAACATATGATAATTTTGTTATATGTATAAGAGAATTCTATAAGAGATTATGTAAAAGGAGATTTATATATATATATATATATATATATGTGTGTAAGAAATTTCTTAACTTGCAAAGGAGGATTTTTTTTTTCTTTTATAAATGCCGGAGCTACAGGCTTGTGGATTTTCTTGAAAAAAAGAGAATCTCAAAAGAGAGGGATAAATCTATCTGATATTGATATTCTGTTTAGGGTCACAAGGAACAATATGAGTTGGTTCATTTAATGTTGATTGAAACTTAAGCTCTTGACGCTAATTTATAGTGATCTTGCTTGCAAAAAATTTGGTTTTCCCCTAATCCCAACTGGACCAGTTGCAGGAGCATCTAAGACAAGCACACCACTTACTCCCAACTGTTCGACAGATTGATCTGGAACAAATTTAATCCCTAAAACAGGTCTTGTCACCTTCCCAAACTTCACCAACTGATCAACAATGCCACCTACAGTGTCAACTGGAACTGAAAATCCCACACCAGAAGATGCACCGGAAGGAGAATATATAGCAGTATTTATCACAGTAAGGTTTCCTGAACGGTCTAGGAGTGGCCCTCCACTATTACCAGGATTAATAGCAGCATCTGTCCGTATTACCTCTTGAATTGGGCGGCCAGTGGCAGCAGAACTTATCTCTCTGCGAAGCCCACTGACAAATCCAGTTGCAAGAGTATGATCAAGTCCAAAAGGGTTGCCAATAGCATACACTTTCTGGCCAACAGGCAAATCTGCTGGTACACCGACAGGTATAGGTCTTAGTTTGTCTTTGGGTGCATCAAACTCGCAATACAGCAACATCCTTTTCTTGGTCCAATCCAACAACTCTTGCATCATAAGTTGACTGGTCAGCAAGAGTAACCTTGAGATCAGAAGCACCACGGATCACATGATAATTGTTGACAACGTGACCATCTTTATCCCAAACGAAACTCGACCCGGATACTTGTGGTACCTCCAACACGTCCAATGAGAAAGCATCCTGCCTGACGGCGAGATTGGTGAAGCAAACAACGGAGGGAGCAGAATGCTAATTTAAGTAGGATGGGTGAGAGGGAGAAGAAGGAAAGGAGATTGGGTCAGAGGTAATTAGGAGAGAAATGAAAGAAAAATTATTTTTATTTTTTTAATTTGTATTAACAAAATTAGTAATATTTATTTTTAAGCTTTTTAAATTTTAAATTTATTTTTTAATGGGGTGACATCATTTCATGTTCTTATACACTGTCAGTCAATGTATCAAATAGAAATATAAAGTAAAATGTGGCATAAATTAACGTTCAAAAAATGTTTTTTCAACAATTTCTTTGTCTCTTTTTTTTTATAATAATAAAATTCTTGTTACCTAATAAATATTATTTATGAAATATTAAAAAAAGTTCTACACGACAATATAACATATGAAATTTGATCTTAAACCAGTAAATATAAAGAAAGAAAAGTAAGACTCAGAATAAAATGTCCTATTCCATTGAATATTAATGTCCTAAATTTAGTTCCAATAGTAACTCTTATGCGGTATATATGAAAAGCTCAAGCCTCTTGTTGTTTAGTATAAGTTTTCATGACATATTCTCTCCGTATTATTTTTATTTGATTTTCAAAAATTAAGAAAAAAGTTTTGATTTTAGTGTATTTAGTATTAAAATTTAAAATTCTTATTATAAAATTAATGCTTTGGGTTAATTTACTTTAAAACTTAAATCTTGCTAGGGCTGCAAGGAATTTGTTTCCTTTTTTCTTTTATTTATTAATTTGCTTCTTTTGATACATTGCAAGAATTTGGTAATTTTTAGTAATATTGGTAGATACTAAAAGAGATAAAGAAAGGTAGTGCATATCTGCAAAATATCTTTAGTTGGGATAAGAATTTTTGATTCAAAATTAAATATAAAAGTATATACGATATATTATGTATTAAGTAAGATAATAATTCTATGTACCAAAAAGAAAAGTAATAACTTTGCATAAAATGTAGATTCAAACTTAACCCAATTAATTAGTGCAGGCAAATCTTCACAAGCCTAGATGGATATATTAAACCATAAGGAAAACCATAATCATACTTGAAATGCTTTGGATTTTCCATTTTAAAGGAATAAAAGAACCATGTGAAACAGTGGAGCAATAAACGTAGTGGCCATATTTTGTTTTATATATATGTGACATGCTTTGGATTTTCCCTTTTAAAGGAATAAAAGAACCATTTGAAACAGTAGAGCAATGAGCTGGCCCGGGACATGTCGTTTGTGCTGGTAGGATCAAGGATGACTTAACCATCGACTGTAATGATGATGGTGCCACTTTTGTTGAAGCTCAGGTGGCCCGGGACATGGCGTTTGTGCTTGAAGAGCCAGAGATTAAAGTTCTGCAGCAGCTATTACCATGTGATCCACTCCAACATTTACCTCAAACTCAACCGAGTACTGATCAGGTACTGCTCGCTGTTCAAGTCAACCATTTTGCTTGTGGTGGCATGGCAAGTTGTGTTTGTCTTAGTCATATTGTTGCTGATGCATCAGCTGCTGCCGACTTTCTAAAAGGCTGGGCTGAAGTTGCTTGTGGTGCTGACAAAATTGAGGGTGTGATTTATGATTGTAGCCCCCTCTTCCCTCCACGAGATATGTCACTCTTTTACAGGGTTATGGGGATTCTAGACAACAAGACTAATGCGGGATCACCTTAAGTTATTACAAAGAGGTTCTTGTTTGATGGCTCTAAGATTGCTGCTCTAAGAAATGAAATGGGAGATGAACTCAACTTCGTACCATCCAACACGTATTGAGGCTCTTACTGCACTTAATTGGGAAGCCCTTATAGCTGCAACTGCTGAAAATTTTGAAGCTTCACCAATACTTGAGGCATCTAATACTGAGAATCTGAGAAAGAGAATGAACCCTCCACTCCCACCGCGATGTATTGGTAATGTTTGTTTCGTTTCAATGGTAAGCACACCGACTGAGAACATCGAAATTCGTAGCAAAAATCATGAATCTATAAAGGAGATAGATGATGACTATATAAGAAAGATATTCACCAGTAATGCTGAATGCTTTCATAACCTTATGGAGAAAATGTTTGAAGAAATTGAAAAGAGTTCTCAGTAGCTGGTGCAGATTTCCATTTTATGAAACAAACTTTGGATGGGGAAAGCCCATATGGTTTGGAACTGCTTTTACGATTAATAGGAATGGCTGTTTTGTGGATACAAGTGATGGTGAAGGAATAGAAGCATGGATATCATTGACCAAAGAAGAAACGGCCGAACTTGAACAACAACCCGCCATCCTTGCTTATGCTAACTTTAAACCAAGCATATGAAGATTAAGGAATAAAATCACTACTCTTTCAGGCCATTCTCTTTCTCCCTTTTTTTCTCTTTCATTCTAGTTTCCCCGTTCGTATGTAATTATGAAAAATGATAACAAAGATGGAGATGGATCATTAATGGAATATATAGTTGTATGTGACTCAAAGAAGATGATTAATTTATTAACGGATCATGATGAGAGGTGACTGTTGTATCACGCTCAACTCCCATACACAATCGCTAAGCCCCCAAATCTAAGTTTAACTTATTCTCCAAACTAGAAATAAATTAACTTCCAACATTTAGCAGCCGCAAACACAGAGGCCAGCTGTGCACTTGTTAGCGGTGCAACCATTGCAACGGCTAACACATTCCTCTGGCTTCTGGCATTGAACTGGCTTCTCTTGCTTGATGGTGTAGATCTCTTCTAGTGGAAGAGCCAGCCGCATACACAGAGCCCAGCAGTGCATTTGCGTTTACGGTGCACCCATGGCATCGGTCAATACAATCTGAGGGCTTTTGGCATTGAACTGGCTTCTCCTGTGCTTCAATTCCTCGAGGCAAACCTATAAATCATTGTTTTCATTAGTTCAAAATACGTATACAAGTTCTACTGTAGTTTGTACTTTCTATTAATTAAATTATCTTTAAAATAATAAATAATGTTAGAAACAACATTGAAGAATAATTCAGTCTTAATACAACCGTCGATCTTTTCTTGTGTTTACAAGATATAGAAAACAAATTTAAGAAAAAAACTAAAAGATTTTGAAAAATGTAAAAGAGATGATTGAGAGACTCACATGATCCAACAACCAGCAGGGCTACCAAGAAGACCGCCCTGAGGCTAGCCGCTCTCTCCATTTTGATTTTTTAGAACGCGCTTTTTGGTGTGATTGTCTTCGATATGGGTTTAATTAGGTTAAGAAAATTCGCACAATTTATAAGGAGGTGTTACATATAAACATGGCAAGAATCTCCATAAATAGAAGGTATTCTATCATTGATGGAAAGGAATTTAATAGTACTATATATGGTATAGATTATTTTTGTAAGGAAAAATCTCTCCACGGCTGTTTGATTTCAAGCAAATAATAAGATTATTGACCAAAAATCAGGCTTAGATTAAGTTATTATAAATATAAAATTTTCAAAACAAGTTTGTGATTCTTAAAATTAATTTAAGATGGTTCTTGGTTTATTCTTTATGAGAGATTCAATTTCTTTTTTGTGCATAAAATTAAAAAAATTATTCATGTTCACTCAACATTAACAATAATTGACCTCAAATAAAATCTGAATAACATAATACCCAAAAAGTCTCTAAATAATTCAAAAAAAAATTTATTTTTTTATTATATTTAATCAAATATTCGTAATTTTATTTTGAATCAAATAAATTATTATATTTTTATTTTAAATTAAATAAATTTTTATATTAATAATTAACTTATTTAAAATTTTATTTATTATTTTATATTATATAACATTAATTTGACACTAATATATCATAATAAATAATAATATAATTTACAGAGTTCGTGATGATCTGCTGTGATATTGAAACATATCCCTACTTTTGAATTCTTTTGCGTTGCTGACTCTTGGTGAGGATCATGTGGAGGAGATGAGCCTGACTTTGTAGTTTTGTATAGTTCATTTTGCTTGCTTTTGTCTTATCAACCTTTCTTGATGCATCGTCAAGGGGTTGACTGTCGCAACCCTTCTGTTTTTGAATGTTTTCATGTTACGGTGCTTGATTTTGTACAGGGACTCACACCTTTATTCAACTTATGAATATAATCATACTTTATTTTTAAAAAATAAAAATAATAAATGATATTTTAATTAATGATAGTTAATTAATTATTAATTGTAAAAATTTATATATGACGAGAGAATTCAATACACATTGATTTTTGTAAGAAAAAATTAAAATTATTTGTTAAAGATCTAACTCGGATTGAGTTACTATAAATGTAAAATTTTTTAATATAAGTTTGTAATTCTTGAAATTTATTTAAAATTTTTCAATATTACCCTAATAGATCATAATAAAAAATGTGGATGAAAAATTTAAATTTATTAATTCTTAGGTTTGCGGCTTTAACTTATGAACTATTATCATGAATTAAAATTATGATTAAACTATGTTAAAATTTCATAACAGTTCACAAAATCAAGTCCGTGGGAGACAATTCTCTGAGTATAAACAATGCAATCAAATTACTTATATATATATATATATATTTTCTAAAGATACATACATCACCAGCTAGTAAAGATATTTTTCTAACGCATGAGCATTAACCACGCCTTTTCCTGCTTCCAACAAGAAAAGCGTTTTTTTTTTAGTATTAAAAAATGATAATTCGAGCCTGGCTTATTTAAACAACTTACCGTTGAAAATAGGATGAATAAAGGGTGACGGGTCATATCTACAGGCACCATAGTATAGCAATAAAACAGCGTAAGTCACACGTTTCGGCCAGAGATTTAATCGAATTCAAAGTTGAAACCATCGCCCGATAATATGATGCCTTGAACGTGTGGCCATTGCCAAACCAGACCTAAATTCACAATTACTTATCAAAGAAAAACTTCCAATCAAGTAGCAACATCACTGTTTACTGAAAGGGCTAAGACAGCATGCATTCCGCTGAGTCATGCTTTGGAGTTTAGATTATATAAGATCTCTTCATGTTATAGCTATAGCTCACAACTGAACTCTTTGCTCCTTGTTTTAGCTCTTTCCTCTTATAAGTTAATTTAAGAAGGCAAAATCAACCAAATTGGGTGCCAAATGGCTGAACCATGAGGCTATTACCACAAGGAAAAAGAACAAGCAGGGGAGACCACCAAAATTAAGCATTCAGCACACGGAGGAACCACTTTAAACTTTAAAAGCGGCAGTAAGGGGACGGGCTCTTTCAAGTCATAAAACAGACACAACAAAAGTACACAAGAAGGAGTCTTTTTCTTTTTATTCACAAAGTCTCAACTTCATATAAAAGTTACTCTCGAGGCCATCGCATCACCAACCGCATGTATTATTCTGGCCACCACGATAAAAGCTTCAGCCTTGCAGACCAATTATACCTGTACAAAGAAATAACTATTATTAACAAATATAGATCAAGCAATCACGGGCAGGAAAGATACTTCAGAAAATTATTGAGCAACATAACTAATAGAGCTCTCTGCAAACCATGGAAATAATCACACTTCAACTTGCATAATATCACTAAAATGATGGGCATTGACAAAATAAAAATGTTTCGTCAAATGCAATCAAGATACTTTCAAAAAAAAATGCAATAAAGACAGTTAACTTACCGCAAGCTAACCTGCCACCAGCATTTCCGGTGGTTTTGCTAAGCTCATGGCCCCCTGCAAATACAATAGCAATGACATAAAATGCCTATACAGCTGGATAAATAAATTTGCAAGTAAAATAACAAATAAATGATAACATAAAATAAACTTGATAATGCCCCTAATATCCAAATACATTACTTAGTTATGTATCCAATTAACTCGACAACATGCCCTGCTAGGCTAATCTCTACAGGCAAAAGGATGTGCAGTGAGGGCACATTAGTATTTCAAATTTGATTTTCCCTTACTTCCAGTAAGAAGGGAAAGGGATTGCGGGAAGAGGGAGCAATTCAGGAAGTCAACCACTTACCAAGTGGTGTTCCTGGCATAGGCAAGAATACGTATAGAAGAAATAAACAAATTAAACAGACTCAAAATATCTAACTATTACCCTTGCCAAGGTCATCAGGATCTGCATGGACAACAACAGCCCTTCCAATAATTGAGTGTGGCCCAGTGAGAGGAATCTATATGGTACAACAACTTTCAGAAATGAACTTAAGTTGATCACAGGTAAGACTACAAGAATAAGGGAAACCAATCAAATTTAAACAGAAAGGAGAAAGGAGTTTAACAAAAAAACCTGTTTGTCAATAATAGTGAAACTCACACAGCCTGGACCACACATGCACAACAAAGAAGATGTTAACAATACAAGAAATGCAAACACTAAGAACATACAACTAAATAGTTTGTGAAAGAAAAGAAAACCAATAAAATATTTTGAAGCTGTTAGTACTGCTTTAAAAAGCTTATGGTCATTGACAGAAAGCAAATATTCATACCATCATCACCAACATTAACATTTCCAAGATCACCCGCATGGCGATTCTCATCTTCTGGGGCACCATGCTCTTTGCCAGCAGGATTAAAATGGGGTCCTGCAAACAGATTAATCAAAGGTTAAAATGCCCAAAACAGCTACATCAGAATACAAAAGAAATCAACAAAATCAACTTCCCGTCATCCTTTCATATTCTTTTTTCTTTCAAACTCCATACAGAAAGAAAAAAAAATCCAACTTTCAGACTTTTACCTGTTGACATGCAACCATTTGTTGTGTCCCCAAGGGCATGGACATGGAAGCCATGGAGCCCAGGATTAAGACCAGAAATGTTCCCAGTCACAGTAGTTGAACCTAAAAGGGGCAGGAAAGATTAAATAACTTCGACAAGAAACACATAAATACAGTATCCAAGAGTCTTATCAGGGTTGTGACTTACCATCTCCCTCTTGAGTGAAGAAAACAGTTCCACTGACACCTTCACTGCTACTAAGCACGGCAACGGCCTTCACCATTTTTCTATGTGATCTATACTACACAATATTAGATATGCCAGTAAATAGTTTTACCAAAATGAAACATATCTTTCACCACTTTTCTACATGATCTATACTAAACAATGATCGATATGCCAGTAAAAAATTCTAACAAAATGAGAGATATCTAAGATGGCAACATTAACACATTGGAAGAAAAGGCTCCAAAAAATATAATTCTGATAGCATATATAAACTCAAAAGTTGAGTTTCTGCTTAAGAACATCATAAAAAATTTTAAACCCTTTTTAATAGACGCTAGTTTTGATAAGTTATGAATTGTAAACTGATAGTACATCAAATATAAACTCATTAAAGTTCACCAAACGGATATAATACATCTAACAACCAAATTAACAGAGCCCCGAACTGAACCAACCACAGGAGAACTTCGAGGAGCTATCAAAACAAAATTACCAAAGCTAAAACTACACCAAAAACCACAATTTCTCCCTACTAAAAGTGATCATTTTCATGCTTTTTTTGGTCTCAACCTTCAGAAAACATAAATTATAAATAAAGTTAGTGACATGCAATTGCAAACATCAATTTTTGAATCATATAACAGCAAAGAAAAAAAAACAAAACTTCTCTCAACTAAGATTAGAACTTTGAAGGGAAAAAAGAAAACTTTTTGCAAAGGAAATTTATAATTCTTCAAAAAAAGAATACTACTTTCAGCACAGAATCTTCTTCACTATAATTTTTTTTTAAAACAAAATTCCGTTTTAAAAACTTTGTTTTTTCAATCATTATCCAAAGAATAGGATTCACAGCCATCGAAATCAAGCTCATCTTAAACAGAAAAAAATCAAAAAACTCCAACAAGAAAGCGTAACAAAGCAACGTTAAATCTTTAGGTAAAAGAGAAATCAAGAGTCAGATCTTCAACAAACACACAAGAAGAACAAAAGCAAGCTCAAGAAATACGGAAATGAAACAGATCAGAGCTTTGAAACCCTAAAAATCGAATGGAGATTATAAAAAGTCAAAAAATTTCTAACCTCAGAGCACCCCTTCACAGTATAAAAGAAAGGAAAGACTGTCTGAAGCGAGCGTCGATTAGGGAATTTATAGAGAAGGTGGGAGCCGGTGAGGAAAGAATCCAAGTTCTTTATCTCCACCTACCCGTTGAGGGTATAATGGTAATTGTCCAACTGAAAATAAAAATTCTTTTACTGATATTGGGCTCTTTATGGACTTGAAATTGGATCACATTTAACCCAACCTATGATATTAGCTCTCCCATTTTCCTTTTCTTTTTTTTTTAATTTTGATTTTATTGAGCCTAAAAGCTTTTTTAAATTTTTTGATTTTTTTTAAATTTTTTAAATGACTATTCATATTAAAAAATAAATTGTATAATTTTCAGTGGTTTTTTATTTTTTTTCAAATACGATTTTTTAAAAAATAAGAATATTCACTCAACGTATCATAGATTTTTGTTATTATTTTGAGTTTTTAAAAATAAAAAAAATCTTAATAATGGTTCTGTTTAAAAATAAATTAAATTTATTGCAATAATTTTTTTTTTATTTCAAAATTATTTTTAGAATTGGTTATACAAATATAATTTTTATTAATATTTAACGTTATTTCTACCACAGATTTCTCCATTATTGTAATTATCTCTCACTGAAATTTGTAGCCAGAAAGAGAATCTTCTTTTGAGTCTTACATTTTGTTTTTTTGAAGGCAAGAGATCAGAGCAAATGTTACAAAATTTTTGCAGCAGTAATGCTTCAGTGAGTTAAACAATGATGTTTGGTCAACATATTGCCCTAGACAATGCCTCTCCAAGCAAGGTTTATCTGCCATGTGATCCCTACAATGAATAATGAAGAAGTAATTCCAGCAATTTATGGGAACTTCCCATCCATCAGAAATCTGACTCGATGTGCAACTTGGTGGTGGAGCCTAACTCGAGCGCTTCTCGAGATTTTTTCCACAACTGTGACTCGAGGCCTAACTTCCTCAGCTCCATGAGGCCACGCTCAACTGCAAACAGGAGGAAGAAATGAGAAGATTTTTATCAGACATGACTTCAAACTTTACGATACCTACTACAGGTTAATTGGTTTAGAGAGTCAATGTTTATAGCATTTAAGTGGTAGATATCAATCGTTCTGATGTAGCTTTGTATAGCATCATTGACCACTGTCAATTGCATTTCATCTAAAGTTAGCCATTAAGGTGTATATTTCTTATATTTTTCGTCTAGTTTTCATGCAAACAGCTTGCAAGATGTAGTGACATATCATCAGCAAGGAGCAAGAACTTTCTCTAAATTAAATAATTTAAGTCGAAATGTTTATAGTTGGTTAACAAGCGGAAGAAGTAAATCGCTAATTATTCTTTACTAGCTGAGGTGAGACTCTAAGATAACTGATCCTCCAGGGGGGTGGGGTGGGGATCTAAGGTCAGATGATAGTCCACAGGGGGGGCTAGAATGAGTACCGTCAACTGCGTCATGAGAAGTGGAGGAACGTGAACTGTGGTTGATCCAGAACTGCAAACGTTCATCTGCAATGTCAGGTTCCACTCCATGGTTCATTGCCCTCCTCCAGAAATATGTAAGCCAAGCCTGCACAAGCATAACCAATAAGAAATAATTCAATGGATATTCTTGCTGCTTGCCATAAAGAACATCACATTCAAATTAGTTTTCACCACACCAATCATTTCATGAAAGTTGTCCAGTTAATAAATTACCTACAAGTTAAAAATCTACCCGATTTGTTTTCTCTCTTCAGAACATTGTATGTAGGTATCTAAATATATACAACCTAAATAAGATATCTTTTCTTTCTTTTAACAGTGAAGACTGAAACAATTCAACATATAGAGAGCAAGAGATTCACACTCCCCAATCTGTTATCAATGCCAATCCTTCTCAAGCCTGGAAGTGCACATGAGAAAAGAAGTGCCAGTTGCAGAACAAACTTCTCATTGCATAAATCAATGGCCAAATGCTCTGTCACTAGTAGTCTAACATGCAAAAGTCAAGTTAAAACAAAAATCTCAACAACCAGAATACGGGTAGAATTTCAAGTCCCCATTGCCATGCCATTGAAATTTTACAGCCTTCTAATTCTCCGTCTTACTCTATGTACAAGATTCATTAACAACAAAGTTATTCTACATTTTTAAATACAAAAAAGATAGTGTTTTCTTACAATGTTATCACTTTCCTTAAATCACAAATGTGTTAAGTCCTTTATCCAAGACCATACTCCTAGAGATGACTAGCTGCAACTAATTAGTTTTAAAATGCTGCAATGAAGATAAACTTGAAGCAAATAAGAGCCAAGAGAAAACAAAGGTCAGCTTGGAGCCTTAACCCCTTAATAACCTTTCTTTGTAGTAAAAAGCAGTTACTATAAAGGTAATATCATACCTGCTTAAAACGCACATCTTCAGACTCTTCTTGGCTCAATTCTGAAAATAAATTTGCTTATTTTAGCTTTTTTGGGGGTTGGTTTAGGAATAATTATTACATCGAAAACCCAATTAACATCAATTGGAGTAAATAAAATACAAGCATAGATGCATAACAAACTCTTTCACTCACTTAAGTTGCAATACCTGTAGTGAGTTTAAGACGAAAAAAGGTTTACATCAACAATTATTAAAATTTGGATTAACTTACCAAATGCCTCAAATTGACCCTCAGTTGGTAGTTTCACCTCATCTGCAACCATGATAACAGTAAAAGGGAAAAAAATGTCAAGCATATGTTCTGGATTATAAAGCATGCTACTTGTGCACAACTTTGCATTAACAACGAAATGTCAATTTCTGAAATTGTTATTTCATGCCAACAGAATGGTAGATTCTCCCATTATTAATGGATGTCATGTTGTTCAAAAATAAAGAAAGAAAGTACCAGTTTTTAGTGAATTCTGGAGTCGATGTTGAGCCATAGCAAATGCAACTGCATCCTCTACCTTCAGAAAAAAATAATTATAAAAGAGAACCACTAAATACAGGGGAAATATTCTTTAATATGCAAACAAGATGACCATTTCATGTGTTATTATCATATAAGGAAGTAGGAAACAAAAGAAAGCCCATAAGAAGGAAGATAGCATGTGCTATTACATCATAACTCTTTGATAATGATCATAAGTGAGAAGAAAGATGATATTCACAACCGCAAACACAAGGATATGACAGAAACCTTTAATAAAGCCAGTTCCCTCAGACCTTTCTCGACTAAAAGCATGCTTTCAACATTCCTCTCTCCAGATAGTTCACTAAAGTCTTGCAGGACCTTTTCTCTTTCTTCTAAATCATTGTTGGCTGTTCAGTATGGAGATAAGAAAAAAAAGCAAAACTGAGTCTTTTAATTTTCACTCCGCTGAGAGAGAGTAAAACTGAATCTGAGACTCTAAGAAGAATATAAATGAATGGAAAAGATCATTAAATATTCATTTTCCAATCCTATCATAGGCCAGAAGGAATTATTTGTGGCAGGCGATGAAGTAAAGCATGCATTTAAATGAAATCTTACATGAAAAGTCCCCTTCCTTGGCTCTTTGTCCAGCAGCTAATACAATTTCAAGAGGAAGAGGGGCAAATGATGACCAATATTCATGTTTTGCCCCAGCTATCTCTGCCTGAATACCTGCAAAAAGGCAATATCCTCGAGAAATTTATACAGCTCTGTGAAAAATGTACAAGGCAGAATTATGGATTTGCACATTAAAGAAACTGACTGCAATTGCAACTTTAGCGACTCCCAGGATCACTTGACCATTTTATTGAAACACTGTTTTAAGGTGATTATTATATAAGCAGCTATTTATCTAATACAGCAGTGTCAACTCAAAAACAACAAAATCAGGAATTTCATATACTAAAAGATCATCACTTTACCATGTTGCACACATAAACTCCAATAACGAGCAAGCCAGCACCTCTTTAAAACAACCTCTTCCTAAGATGAAAACTGCAGATTTTGTAACTATGACATAAAGGAGTAAAATGAAAAAATGATGTCTACAAGATTAGAATGAAGCCAACCATCTCTTCCTCGGTTAGCATCATCCTTTGAGTTACTGTTTGCAAAGATTTGATTTCACACTCCGCTTCCTGGAGCTTCTCTAAGGCAGACATTGCTTCATCTCTGGCAGTCTAACTCACAATTTAAGAAGAGGAAATTAGTTAAGCAAGGACATTTTCCCCTTCTAAGAATGGTAAAAATTTAAAGAAAAGCCAGAACATACAAGATAAAATTTCAAGATACCTCAGCCTCTGTCCGAAGAGCAGAAATCTCTTCAGGTTTACCGCCCTGAGTTTGTGCTGCAACTCTTAAAGCGGCCTGCAAGAAGGACCATGTCACATGCTACTCATCTGCAGTTCATAAACCATGTCCTGACTAACATGTAAAAATAAAGAATTACATTAGCACATTGATTTTTGTAGAAAGACGTCAGTTATAAGTAATAAAGAATAACTAGCTAGATCAACAAAACAAATGAAACTATCAAAGGTGCTAAGAATTATTAAAGCACACTCCGCTAAGTCCTCGCTGCATTGAGCATGACCTCTGGCAACCCTTCCTACTGATCTAAAGCACACACCAACTTCTGTGCTTAGCCTCTACAGAGATGGTATTTCATTTTGCATATAGATTCTCGTTTTTAGATTTATGCTCAAACAATCATGCACATGCCTGCTTGATGTGTATATTAATAAGCCTCTCTAGGCATGGAATAAGTATCGATTCACAAAGAGAGATGCACAAAAGGAATCAGGAAAAAACATATATAAACTTAGTATACACATACTTAAAGACAGAGGAATGTCTGTTAAGGCTTATAATTATCTAGTATTATGTAATTCTCCATGCATAATAAAACTGATAGACACATGCAGAGTAGTTTGAGCTAAGGAAGTGGCACTATTTAGAAGTACAAACCTCCCGTTCCTGCAGGGCTGCCTGCTTTCTGAAGAGGAAGATAGATGGCGCGTAAGAAAATCACAAAGTAAATTACAATATAACATTAAATACTTGTAAGCCATGAAGCTTGCCTGCTTAAAAGACGTGCTTCTAGAGTTACACCCTCTCCAAGATTAGCAATCTAAACAAGAACATGTTATGACTCAATTAAACATATACAAATGTTTGCTACCTGGAGCGGTATAAAGTTCATTTACCTATCACTTGTCTTTAAACTGTAAAAAGTTCACCTGTTTCTCAAGCTGCCGAGCTCTCGCTTCCGCTTCCTCACACCTTTCCTCTGAAAGTTGAAGCTGGGGAGGCAAATATCATGATGGAGCACCAAAAACAATACTATATGACAATATTATTAACATTTTCCGCAGGCCAAAGTGCTTTTTTGGCTAACCTAATGACATCAGAGTTTGGGGGAGCAAATGCTGCTGCAACAGCAATATCCAAATGCCAGTAATCAGTTAGATTATGTCAACATTTGAAGATAACTGTTGCAGCAATTTTAGGATATTGACTCAGTGCTTGAAGATGATGGAGAGCCAAATTGATGTTTATGAGTACTATACATTTTTCAAATAAAGCTTATTATCCAAATTTATTAGACTCAACAACAAAACAAGTTACATGATAAGAAGTTAAAAAGTTAGTGGAATCACCTTTTCAAGTAAACTTTCATTTTCATCCTGTAGCATATCAAGCTGCAATGAAATTCACACCACATTACTGGAAGATAAAAAGATAACCATTCTGATAATATCCATAATTATTTGATCTCATATACTGAAATTTGAAGTGTACAGACTTGAATAAATTGAAAAAAATTTGGAAAAGAAGATATGATTATACACCAGCTTTCAAATATTTCCTGAAGGAAAAAAAATACTGTGATTAATGGATGCTAGAAGGCAACACGTTTTTAACTTGGAAAGTGATTGTACCTCATCTTGTAGAGCAGAAGTGGACTGCTGACGTCCCCTTTCTTTTAAGCTGCTCATATTCCCAAAATCTGCTAACAATCTGCTTAAAATGCAAAATTCAGGGCACTCTCGATAAACCAAAGAACCTAAACCAGTGCAGTGATCATTTTAAATGATCCCAGGGTCTTGAGACCTTAACACTAATTAAGAAACATACATGATGCTATGGGCTTAATTACTACCAGGAAAAGGCATTATTCTCAAATACTGGAAGAGCAGCAGCGAAGCCTCTTTGAATAAAGCCAATAAAACATAAAGACTTCAATTACTCATACATATCATCTTGCAACTCTTTTTTTCTCAAAAATCATCTTGTAAGTATGTTCTGTAAGAACATGCTATTTAAAATTCTGACACTCAGCCACTTCTAAATTGACATCATGTGAATCAGAGAATTTGCTGTGATGGCTGATTACTTCATTCTTTTTGTAATACATAATAAACTTCAAAAATCAAGTTAAAAAGGAAATTTCACATAATATGCCTAAAACTAAGACAATATCACAGAATATTAAATACTAATGTTGAAAACCTCGAGTTCCATCCCCCCCCCCCCCCCCCCCCCCCCCCCCCCCCCCCCCCTTCCCCCTTTTCTCTCCTAAAAAAAAAGGGAAGAAAAAAGTTGGTGGGGATTATGACAGATGAAACTTCATTCTTCAAACTTCAAAATGAAATTACACCAGCTTAGAGCTATAAAATACCTTTTATCTCTCTGACTATCAGTTGAAGCCTCTGTTGTACTAACAGATGAGGTTGGCTTCAGGGACATAGTCACAATAGAAGGTACCACCGGAACTGTCTTGACTCCTAAATGTTGGCAACCTGATGCTGTGGAACGAGCAGATAAAGGTTGTTCTATATAACTGGTTAATGGAGGTGATTGGCCAGCAGTTGAAGCTTGAGTGGACAAAGGCTGCTCTATAGAACTCTGCAGAGATGGTCGTCCAGCTGGAGTGGAATAAGGTGACATGGATTGCTCAACAGAGTTGACAGAGTGTGATGGTTGGCCACTTAAATGGGCTGATGATGGCTGCTCCATAGAGTCGACAGATAGAGAGGTTCGAGTTCCTGGTGTGGAACGGGTAGATGGTGGTTGATCCTGATTGGTATGAACTGACTAATAGAAAAGTTGAAGTTACAAGTAAGAATTACATTCATTAATAATATAAGCATTAAACAACAAAAATTTAGACAACTGATCATACTCAATTAACAGACAAGTTACCAAGGGAGAAGATGGCAGTCTTGCTCTTCCACTAGCAAGCCCAATGCTTGGTGTGCCACTCACTGAAGGACTATTATTTGCCAGGTCATCCTCATCATTGTCCTCATCACCTGGTTGTTGTGCTACATGTTGCACTGGCCTTTGAGCCATGGTTTTGGCCTGTGTTTTAGAATGCGAGTCCATATCAGAATGCATTTCTCTGTACCATAAAGCTCCAATAATGGAAACTGCAAAATCTTTTCCTCAAACTAACGTCATAACTTGTCTGCTCAAGCTCATGCTTCTTCCCCCACATTAGCATGACAAACAAAAAACTAAGCTAAAAAAACTTCATACTAATAGGTAATAGGTAATTACCATAGAAGGGCGTGACTGCATTGCCCTACCACGAGCAAGCCCTATGCTTGCTCTCCCACTAACTAATAGGTCATCCTCGTCATTGTCCTTGTCAGATGGTTGTCGTGTAGTAACTTGTGGCAGACACTTCTGAGCTATGCTTTTGGTCTGCAGTATTATACAGTGTAAGTGCAATGAGACATATTTGTTGGTAGCATCAAGCTTTTGCATGTGATATGTAAGTTACAAGGTTACAAATGTAGAACCAGACATCTACAAATTATCGTATTCAAATGCTACTTGTCAAATCGTGCACTTTCTTCTCTAAACACAATTCAAGCTGCAATCTAAATTATGAGCAACTATATGTACCAATCACCAAATTTGTACTGAGAAGCTAAAAACATAAGAGCCATACAGATCACTAATTTTGCACATAGGACTCATATGTTCACTAAATAATTAACTAGTCAACTGAATAATACACCTCCTTTTAACAATCACATGAAGGCAAAACTCTGGAGTCATTAAAGACTGAATCAGTCAATTACTGATTTCAAGTGCTTTCTTTTTTAGCCAGACTAATTTCAAGTGGTTAAGCACGGATGAACAGGTCACTCAGATTATTAGACTGAGCTTCTACGCAGTCTCACATTCCGCTCCATACCTTGTTGACAGAGACAGTCCAAGCCAAGCTTATAAAAACACAGCCCTTTCATAGCTTCAAAAGCTAAAATGAACAAAGATAAACTTTAAAGCTTAAGTTTGAAACTTAACAACTACTCAAGCAACTTTAGGCAAGATCTGTTTTATGTCCAGAGAATTAAAATCTATCACAAATGCTGTAGCTCAAACTAACAATTTAATTTGTCTACTCGCATTCTCTTTCTTCAATGCTCACTTGACATAAACACGTCTACCTAAAACCAAAATCATATTAGATAATCATATAATTACCGCAGGAGAGCGTGACTGCATTGCCCTTCCACCAGCGAGCCCTATGCTTGCCGTGCCACTCACTAAAACGTCATCCTCATCATTGTCCTCATCAGCTGGCTGTTGAATCATTACCTGTGGTGCTCGCCTTTGAGGTATGTTTATCTTCTGGATTTTACAAGATAATTCCAGGTAAGAACATATTTATTTGCAATATCAAACCAGGCTAGCAAGCAACCATGAACAAACTTAGAGCAGCTTAACAATGTTTGACATACATCATGGTGCATGATAATAGTGTCAATAGTGGTCAAAAGAAAAAAGTGTTCTTTAACTTGTCTATTGGAATGTGTTGAACTACTTCTTCAATAAGTCTGCGCATCTCACTTGACAAACACATGCAGGTCTAGCTAAAAACCAAATTCATATTTGATAATTGGAAAATTACTGCAGGAGAGCGTGAGTGCAATGCCCTTCCACCAGCGAGACCTATGCTTGCTGTGCCACTGACTAAAAGCCCATCCTCATCATTTTCCTCATCAGCTCCTTGCTGTGTCATCACTGGTGGTATTGCTCGCCTTTGTGGCATGTTTTTGTGCTGGATTTTACGATGTAAGTCCAGGTAAGAACATATTCACTTGCAATGTCAAACTCTAGCATATGCAACCATGAATAAAACTTAGAGCTTAGAGCAGCATAAAAGTTTTTAAAATACATGACGCTAAATGATGATAATATTAAAAAGTTGTCAAAATCTTTTAAAGAAAAGTGTCCTTGGACTTTGCCTAATTGAACTCTCACAAACATAGGTCTAGCTAAACCAAATTCATATGAGATAATTAGATAAATTACCATAGGAGAGCGTGACTGCATTCCCCTTCCACCAGCAAGCCCTATGCTTGCCGTGCCACTTACTAAAATATCATCTTCATCATTGTCCTCATCAGCTGGTTGTTGTTGTGTCCTTATCTGTGGCACTCGCCTTTGAGCCATGTTTTTGTTCTGGATTTTTCAAGTTAAACCCAAGTTAGAACATATCTAATTCCAATTTCAAGCTCTGGCATAGCAGTAATAATGTTGAAAATTTCCATTAAAGAATGGTATCTATGCCAAAACAGACAATGGGGTAAAGCTAAAAAAGGCATAAAAAGTTTTTTTTCAAGTCCAATATTTCATTAAACTATTACATCTATCCTAGGAGAGCGAGCACGCATTGCTCTTCCACCGACGAGTCCAATGCCTCCCGTGCCACTAATGTTATTATAATCAAGCTGGTCCTCTTCATCATCATCCTCATCGTTTTGCTGGTGTGCCATAACGGCCGCCAGCCTCTGCGCTGCCGCTTTCGTTTGCGCTTTCCTCACATTCCCCATGCTCCCATAGCCCGATCCTGACTGCGTGTGGCGGTGAAGCGGCGACGGCATCGCCGGTGTCCCTGGAGTCCCAGGGCCCTCCGTGCTCTGTTGTCTCTCGAATATTAACTTCCTCCTATCCATTGTCACTGCAATAAACATTTAAATTTTTTTAAAAGAAAACCCAGATTAATTAGTCAATGTTAAGAGAAATAAATAAAAAAAAATTTAAAAGTTAGAACCTGAAACTTACCAGGGTGATCGAAGAGAAGTCCCTGTTTTTCAGTAAAAGGTGAGAAAAACAGAGCATTTTTTCTGTGAGACAAAATGGAAAAGCATGAGAAAATGCTGATTGGGTTCCAGGAAAATTGTAGAGCATTGGAATTGTCTACGGCGACATATTTGAAGTGAAAAATGGTAAACGAAAGGATCCGATGGCTAAGGCGAAAAAGGAGGGGAGGGAGAACTGAAACGGGAAGCGGGAGGTTTTAACGGTCGATTTTTTTGGAATTGGCGGGTTTTCTTTATTACATACCAAATACGTCCTTGTACGGTTAATGTCTAATTTCATTTTAGTTGAGGGATATTTTTGCAATTACAAGGAAAAGTACACGTAACAATTGCAAAGCAAGAGCATACTTTATATGAAATCATAAAGGGTTATTTCTTGTTCCATTAAAAACTTTTATTTAGTACAACCATATAAAGTGCAATATTCATATATACTTGAGAAGAAAAATTGAACATTGGGTGCTTTTTGAACTCCCAAAAAACTTGAAATTTCCTTTTTTGGAATTTTAAGCACGGTAATTTCAAATTCTCATGTAAATTCCTGAAATTTTGCATGAACGCTTTTCCACAGTAAATGGTGTTGTAGGCTACCCCACGCCCAACCTTAACACTTGGCAAAAATAAGAAACGCTACAAGTTAGGCACCCCTCCCGCAGTTTTGGACCTTCATTTCACAAATGTAGAGCATGGGTTATATCATTCATATGCTGGGCTATTCACTAAAATTACAAGTAATATGATTAATTGGGGAGGATGGAGATCCTCTTAGAAGTTGAACCACCCACAAAAAGTATATATATTAAGACTTGATAAGGACAATAATCAGAGGAGAGGAGGAGCACTCATCATTCAATAAACTGAATGCAAACCTGTTCTTTTACTTGCTTTTGAAACACTATCACTATCCTTTCTTACAAAAGGGAATGATCAACAGTAGCAACCAGATGAATAGTATTGGAATTTAAAAAAAAAAAAGGAATGAACAAACAAAACTGAAAGAAACAAGATCACAGCTAAAAAAGGAAAAACAAGACAAAATTCTTTAATTTTAAAAGCAGAACAAAATAGGAAAAACACATAGTTCAGTAAAGCAGATATATAGAACTGGAATTACAACCTAGGGCAAATTCAAAATATCTGATCCAGGTAGCTGGAATACGTTTCTGCTTCAATGACAAAATTCTGACTGAAAAATCCCCTCTCACAACAGCATCTTGATGCAATATTTCTGGAACATATTTGTTTACCTGCATACAGCAATAAACTCCATTTTCATTTAAGTCCATTTTCATTTAAGTAAAAGTGCGCATTCCCTGTTCAACATCTAATTAGACACATGGCTGCAGAGAAACACAGCTAAGTTTACAAAACACAAATTTAGAACGACTAACACCAAATACTCCAACAAATGAAAATTTCCTCAAGATGTAACATAGCATGCTAAAACGACAAATTTACTTCACCTTGACATAAAGATGGCAGTTGGATTTCCAGGGGACGGAGGATTCTGTTTTAGCAGGGACGCAAAGGAACCAGCTTGCACATAAGCATCAGGGTCAGAGGCCGACAATACTTCTACCTCTTCAAGAGCGAGTTGTCTCTTGATCAAGTCTAAGTTCTCCTGAAGGACCTCAATCTCTCCAAAGGGCAGCTTCAAATCCAGGGCTTGGGCACCAATTTTAATAGCCTCACCCTTCTTGAACCTCACGAATGGCATACAACGATTCTGGACCTGTTTAAAGTCTGCTGCCTGACCAACAGTGCTCTGCCGCAATGCATTCATTATCTCCCCATCTGATGCAAAAAATGTACAGGTCTTATTGTCAAACTTACTTTGGAGGATCCGTAAGCACTCTGCTTGCCATCCATCAAATTGCTCATTCACAATGATTAGGCCTTTTAACTTGTCCTCAGTTAGTGATGTAACTGGAGCCCCTTTCTTATTCTTAGTGTTCTTTGAGCCTGAAATCTGCTTCTGGAGTAGCTTTCTCATCGACACAATGGAATCTTGCAAATACTTATTGGCACTCTTGAGTTTTAGATCTGGAGAATCAGCTGTGGGCCAGCCTGCTTTCACCACAAAACCATCCTTTTTCAAAAGCTCTCTCCAAACAAACTCCGCATAGTGAGGGCAGATTGGAGTGATAAGCCTAGTCTGCACATCCATAAAGCGCCATAAAAGGTCACGGTTCATGCCACCACTGCCACAAGAGAACCTATACTCATCCCTGGCAGCCTGAAGATCATAAAACCCAGTTTTCAGTGCTTCCCGAAACATGCAATCCCGATAACTCTGCTCAGTCATTTTGACAGCGATGTTTATCTCATTTTCAAACACTCGATCAGCATAGGTAGATGGGGGACCGGTCCTCAAAGATGATTCTGCAGCCACAATCTCTTCCATCCATGCAATCTCTTTTGTGAGCCGTAAGATTGCAGCATTGGCCGTCTCAAACACAAAGTTTGCATCATCTACACCATCCCCTGCATCAGCCAGAGAGAATCGTGTAGCATCAGCAGAGAATTCCTCAATTGCCTGGTGCAATGTCCTGAAATTTCCAGTAGACTTGGACATCTTCTCCGAATTGAGCATAATATGTCCGTTGCACCTGAATCCACGAGGCCAGTGATCCTTGGACATGATTGCGATGTGGTTGTAGATGCAAAATGTCAAATGATTCTGGATAAGGTCTTTACCAGAGACTCTAAGATCAAATGGATACCAGTATTCAAACTCCTGCTTCATCTTATTAAGAATAGAGAACGGAATATCAGAAGATTTGGGAAAATGACCACCACAGAAGAGAAATTCCCAGACCTCATCAGTCATCTGGGCAGGTTTAACCAGATCAGAGCTTTTTCCATACATGTCCCCATTTTGTAAAAGATGAGCAACTGTATAATAAGCCATGTAAATGGTTGAGTCAGATAATGACTCAACAAGGAATTCCTCATCCCATGGAATGCGAGTCCCAAGCCCAAAGGATCGTGAGCAAGCCCACTGATTAAGCCAACCTAAAGTATGTTCAAAGCCATGTCGTGTCTCATCAGAGTACAGATTCATGTTGGATAAGCACTCCTCAGCCAATTTCTTCCATTCTGGTTCCCCATATGTGATGTACCATTGATCTGTAAGAGCCACAACGCATTCATCACCAGACCTTGACATGACCTTCTTCTCAGGCTCACTATAAATTATTGCCTGGCCTGTTTCAACCAGTTTGGTTCTTATCAGTGGCTTAGCTTCCTGGACTCTTGTTCCTGCATATTCTCCAACAATCATTGTTCCCTCTGTAAACCCTCTCAAGTACACCAACCTCTTTGCCTCAGCAAGCTTGTCTTTCTCATTCTGACTTTTAATTTTCAGGTCCACACAAACCTTTTCAGCTGCTCTGTCTCCAAATTCCAGAATGTCAATGATGGGTACGATCTCAAATGGCAATACCCACTCATCCTTCACACAAAACTTTGCCCGAAAAGCAGGTTTTGCTTTCAAATCATGTAAGGCCATATAATCATCAGGAGCATCACTAGGAACACTGGTCACAATTCCAGTGCCTTTGTCTGTTAGAATGGTCAACATTGGAAGAGCATATATGATCTCATTAAATGAGAGAGGAGACTTTACAGGAAGACCAATCAGATCATAACCAGTCAGCTCAACCAAGCATGTAGGTTTCTCAGGGACACGAGAGAGCTTCTGATATGCAAGGTTGAGTGCTGCTCTCTCTGTCAGAATAAATACCTCAGTATCATTGATTTCAAACGCTCCATATTTCCCATCAGGCAATACCCAACAATTTGTTTGCCCATACATTGTCTCAGGCCTCAATGTTGCAGCACCCAAAAACACTTTTTTCCCTTCCAAGACACGCATTTTAGCTGGAAATGGTGGCACCACTTCCATTTTAATAATAGTATACTCTTGCGGCTGAACCCCTTCACCACTCGCCCTATCATGATCAGCACATGGCTGACCATCCAAGGGAGAATATATAGTATACCTTACATCTTTAACAATCTTACCCATCGATCTCAACTTCCTCATCTGCCACTTAACAAAAGAATCAAAAAATGGATTCATATCCGTAGTCACAAAGGACCTTCTCCAATCACAACCTAATCCAAATGCTTTAAGGTCTTGAACAGCCAATGGTGGAAAGAATTTCAACCATTCATATGGGTTCTGAAACTTTGATATCTCACTATCTGAAAGTCCAAAACTCCTCATAATTTCCCACTGAAACATCTGCCCACTAGATTTAGATGCCACCTTAGACTTTTTTCCTTTAAACTTATCGGGGACCACATTGGCACCTTCATTTCCGTCAGATTCTTCTTCCGGATTTGGTTCCTCATCTACTACCTCATGAGGAAAAATGGGTGGATCACCAAATTTTTGGATTTCTCTAGCAAGTTTATCAGCAGAAGCCTTGATTGGCATACCAGTACAGTGAAAAGCAAAAGGTAATAACACATTGGCACCTCTTAATCTATGGTAAGCAGCAGCAAATTCTAGCTTCGAAAGTGAAAAGGCATGACCCAGATGTAAAAAACCATTCATATACGGAAAAGGAAAGTTCCCAAAGAATTTTTCACCTGGTTGAGGTGGTTTTTCACCAGGTTCTGCCTTAAACACATCGTTTTCTTCCCACCAAACTCTAACCTTTGACTCGATTTCCAGTAGCTTGTCTCTCCTTGCATAACTCTTGCCTCCCTCTGTCGCCATCTCGTGAAACTGATGGAAACTGTTAAAACCAAAAAAAAAAAAAAGAATGAAAATCCATTTCTCAAAAATGAAACAGAAAGAAATGAAAACCAAATTGTGGAAGGAATCGTTGCAAAGGAAAGTGCCTGAGTCTGCTGAGGAAGATGGCGTTGAGCCTACGGGCAGGCTCTCGAGATCGAAGAATCTTTGCTGGAGTTACGGCTTTACCAGAGCAAATGGGTGGAAACGAGTAGGATAAAGAGGCTGCGTTGAGTTTCAGTTGGGTTACAGAGCTAGTTATTCCCTTTTTTAAAAAAAAAAACTTTCGTGAAAGGTTTTTAGGGTTTTATAGAAATTAATAAATTTAAATTAGAAAGGCCTGCCCCAACTTCTTCTACAGCCGACCCAATGATCGGAAATGGCCCAATTCTCCAACTTTTGTTCTTCAGGCTGAGAATCTAAAGCCCAATTCAAGGGGGCAAGACAAATCCCAAGCTTACACTTAAAGCCCAAATACAAATTAATGCAAATTCTTTTCTCCTTTTTAAATCAGGATATATAAATTGCTTAATCTTTTATTTCATTGCAAAATATGACATATCGGACGAGGGCATGTTCAATATTGACTCCAATAAAAGGTCCTAACTCGAAATTATTTACTATAGTACCTAGACAGGTATCATTACCACACCTATTTGGGGACAATTTTCATTTATATATATATATATATGACAATCAATTTATGTAACAAGCGGTCAAATTTTTGTGATGAATGTACATATAAATTCATTGTAATATAATCATGATTCTCAAAATATTATATTATTCATAATCATGATTCCCAAGATAGTATATAATTCTTTTACTACGAGGCAAAAAAAAAAGTCTTTTTATCAATAAATTTATGATTTTGTCACATGTATTAGGTACGTATAAATTTTTCTTTAGCGAAATATTAACGAGCCTAATAATTTATTGTCCTATTCATGAATTTCACAATAAGAAACATAACACATAAAAAAATCTTAAATTTTTTAAAAAAGTTTAAATAAATATTTATCTTTCTATTACGTTTAATTAAATCTTAATACTATTATTTTAAGTCAAATAAATATTTATGATTAACGGTTAATTAATTACTATTAGTTAGAATATTACTTATTATTTTTTGTCATATGGTACTTATGTGACATAATTAAATAATCACACGATATAATGACATAGTTATGTAATATTTTCAATTTTCATATTAACGTTACATTAGCATCATATGTCTAATGACAGTTAATCAAATGTTAGTTATAAAGATTTATTTGATTTAAAATAAAAATATAAAAATTTAATTACACGTAATAAAAAATAAAAAATTATATAAATTTTTTTAGATAATTTAAGTAATTTTAAAACATTATGCCAAACTAACAGCATATTATATTATATTCCAAAGATTTGAAAATCCATTATCATATAAATATATATATATAGCTAAGTAAGTGGCATCAAACGATTTTATATTATTAGCAGAAGTACTTTGGAGGGGCGGCAGATGTTTCATGCTTTAGGCAGGAGAGGCACCCAAAGGAAATGATTTTTTAGCCTGCATAAACCAAAATAAAGATTGGACCAAGTTAATATTCCAAATTTCTACAGACGGCTTCTAAGACTTTGGGCTAATGTTATTGTATTAACATTGTTTTCGCAACCTTATGTTTTATGCATGTTGGATTGGACCGACTGAAATTTCCCAAGCTAGATTCCTCTTTGATTTAATTATTTTTCAAGGTGTAGAACTAACGAAATTCTGCCAAATGCTTGGCCCCAAATTTTGTTTATCATCTCATTGAAATAGATGGTTGCCGACTGAGTAAGATCAGAGCACTTCCCTTGTCATCTTGGTTAATTTGCAGGGTTGTTTTAAAGAAAACAAGTTGAAGGTATTTCATTGGTTCAAAACTAACTAGGAATCTGCTACGCAAAAGTATAAATCTGGTCTTCCAGACAAGACAAACGAAACATAGGAAAACACTAATGCACCAAGATTCTCCTTGATTCAGCTCCCAATTTTGACAGATTAGTTGCGTTTATGATGTTGGAAAGACAGTTAATTCTTGTCTTTCATATATTTCTTGGTTAGGTGACTATCACTCTAATTTGTCCATCAGGATACGAGGTTCTTATCCCACAAACATTACTGGTTTGGGTTGTATAGTGTTGACACCTGGAGATTTTCTAACTTGTAAATGGAACAAATTACTTCAGCTTAAACCAAAAAGAATTGGCAAAGCCGGCAATGAGATTCCAATAGTCATAGACAATTGGCAAAGCCGGCACGTGTTTCATGATGACTTTAGCTATGAAACGTACTCCCACATTAGATGTGAAGGGAAATTAGTACTTTGAAAGCTAAAAAACAGGGAACTGTAATTCTCTTCCAAATCCATCTAAGAGATTTAAAGCAAGAAGTTTAATACTTTGATAATTGTTTCGATGCAAAAGATAGCAAATCAAAGCAATAAATAATCACTGTGTCAGAACAAAACTGCAGTAATACAACTGGGTTTCGTTGATTTTAAAGCGTAGTAGGTTGGGTCAAAATTACCTTGGACGATAAGGTTACTTGACAATGACTCCACGTGGTTTATAAAAATCTCTCTGTTGCTTTTCTTCTTTATTTTCCTAATGTACATTTTTCTTCTTTCCATTTGGTGACAGTCTGACAGAGACAATGGGAAATTAAAGTCTTCGCCGTAGACACGTCAAATAGGAAAATTCCAAATGGAAAGGAAACAAAGCAATGGTCCTATAAAAGAAGAGTAATTTGGGACAGCAATTACTGCATTTCCTCATATAAGGTTCTTTCTCGATGCTTCGTACTCTCAACAAGAAATCACTGTACAACGCAATTGAGATGACAAGTCGTAAGGCAAAAAATAGGATGTTGTCAAAATTTCTCATCATAGCCTGCCTAACGTTGATTCTTGCACCTCCAACCTTATCCTTGCAATCCGCGATCAACGTTTGGCCTAAACCAAGACTACTGGTATGGCCAAAACCACTTGCCACGTTCCTCTCTCCAAACTTCACCATCAGTTCCCCCAACCACCAACACCTCACCCCCGCCGTCAACCGCTACCTCCGTCTTATCAAGACGGAGCACCACCACCCCGTTGTCACCCCTTCTGTCATCGTTTCCAACTCATCCGCTCCGTTGAAAACTCTTTCCATCAATGTAATTGATCTCACCGTCCCCCTCCAACATGGGGTGAATGAAACCTACGCCCTGGCCGTTTCTGAAGTTGATGGTACGGCCTATTTGACAGCCGCAACTGCGTGGGGAGCAATGAGGGGTCTAGAGACGTTCTCTCAGATGGTGTGGGGTGATCCCTCGGTTGTCCCGGTGGGCGTGTACGTGTGGGATGCTCCCTTGTTTGCTCACAGGGGAGTCATGCTGGATACATCAAGGAATTATTATGCGGTGGAGGACATATTGAGGACTATTGGGGCAATGAGTGCTAACAAGCTTAATGTGTTCCATTGGCATATTACTGACTCACATTCTTTTCCACTGATGGTGCCTTCGGAGCCTGAGCTTGCTGCCAAGGGATCTTATGGACCTGACATGATATACTCACCCTCGGATGTGGCAAGGATTGTGCAATTTGGCTTGGAACATGGGGTAAGGGTCCTACCGGAAATCGATTCACCAGGTGAGTTTGTTATAACTGTAATTCCTTTCCTTCAAAAATGAATTGCATGACAGTTCATCTTTACCTTTATGTTGACTGACAACAACCTTCAAGTTTAGACTGTAATACTTAATCATGTAGTAGTTGGTTTCTATAGTACACTCGTATTCATGACGAAAGAGTCTCATCTTATAGATGATTATGATCAAAAGGAAGAGAGAAGGCAATAACATAATACTAAAGAGACATAAACTTGCTTGGCAGTCAACTCAATTGGTCGTAAAAATTCTAGAATTTCCCTACCATACATGATACATCAGATTCATTATAGGAAACCATGGGCTACAAATATTTGGGTTGCATTATTCTTCTTAATGTATAGCGAGATTTTTTGGGGTATTGAATTACAAGAATCTCGAACCTCTTTCCATATCTCAACATGAAATCTCTAAACAGTTTGACTGATCTCTTCACACATGCTTGAAAGAGCCCTTTCATGGAATCCTCTTTATAGGCTCCAATTTTGATGTCGTCAAGCAGTAAAACCCGCTCCTGGTAAGTCCTTGATCTAAATGACGCCAAACGCATCACTCATTCACTTTGTAACTTTGGATCCAATAAATTCAGGCCTTTGGCCTAATTCATCTGCCGTTATCAATTATATCTGTTCGTGGACCCTGATGATAAAACATGAACATGGACGCGGACAGCCATTCTCTAGACCACGCATTACATCTTTAGATATAAGTCAGTGACACCAACAGGGAGAAAAGGATTATTTTTATGAAACCTTGATTCCATCTCAATGTGGTGAAAGCAAAATAGCAGTAAATATTATTAAAGCCTTTTCCATGCTTTTGAATATCAAGTGCATGAGATTACTTTAACCTCAAAGCTATTTTATACAAATTTTTGTTGTATTTTAGCTTTGAGTGAAGTCCAATGCTTAGAAACAGAGCACTCTGTTTTTCTACACCAAGTGCACACTGCGCCCAACATGCAATGGGATGATGAAAGAAATTTTTACTTCGAAACTGCAGGTCATACAGGATCATGGGCAGAAGCCTACCCAGAAATAGTTGCCTGCGCAAACATGTTTTGGTGGCCAGCTGGAAGTCTGTGGGATGACCGTCTTGCATCTGAACCTGGAACTGGCCATTTAAATCCCTTAAACCCCAAAACCTACCAAGTTCTCAAGAACGTAATTCATGACATAGCCACTCTATTCCCTGAAACATTCTACCATGGGGGAGCTGATGAGGTAATTCCTGGATGTTGGAAAGCTGATCCAACCATTCAATCTTTCCTTTCAAATGGTGGAACCCTCAGCCAGCTCCTGGAAACCTTTGTGAACTCTACTTTGCCTTACATCATATCCCTCAATCGTACCGTGGTGTATTGGGAGGATGTTTTATTAGATGACAATGTCAAAGTAGACTCCTCATTTCTTCCAAGGGAGTACACCATTTTACAAACATGGAACAACGGCTCAATCAACACCAAAAAGATTGTTGAAGCCGGATATCAGGTGATTGTATCATCTTCAGAGTTCTATTATTTGGATTGTGGCCATGGGGACTTTCTAGGGAATGATAGTCTATATGATCAGCAAACAACAGGAGGTAACTCTGGAAATGGAGGGTCTTGGTGTGGACCTTTTAAAACATGGCAAACTATTTATAACTATGACATAACTTATGGTTTAAGTGAAGAGGAGGCTAAATTGGTTCTAGGTGGAGAGGTGGCATTGTGGTCAGAACAAGCTGATCCTACAGTCCTGGATCCAAGGATTTGGCCGAGAACTTCAGCAATGGCGGAGACATTGTGGTCAGGAAACCGCGACGAGACAGGGAACAAGAGGTATGCTGAGGCAACTGACAGGTTGAATGAATGGAGGTATCGAATGGTAAGTAGAGGGATCAAGGCTGAACCACTTCAACCACTGTGGTGTGTTAAGAATCCAGGAATGTGCAACACAGTCAATACTTTTTGATTTTTAAAGATGTTTAATGGAGCAACGCAGAATTTAGATACAAGTGACAAAAAAATTGCTTCAGAATTCACTTGGTTTGCATTGAGTATGCTTCTTACATTTTCAACTTGTATTCATGTTCCAATTGATGATCAAAAGAACTTGTCTATGTCATAATGCACATCGCTGAATTTCTTGATAATTCTAGCAACTACTAAAGGAAAATGGAGAAAAACAAACATTGCTTTTTGGACAGAAATCATGCAAAAGAGCGAAACCCAAAGGAAGAAATTTTTAAGAGAGATTATGCAATTGCGTGGCAGATGAGAGCAAGAGTTGCTTTAAAAGCTGCAATCCAAGGGGCCATAAGTTAAAACTTACGATAATCAATTGGGATTTTTATCTGGTCGAGGGCAAGAAAAACAAAAATTTGTATTTAAATTAACTAAAAAATGAAAAAAGATAAATTACTGTTAAAAGGGCTTTGGTCTTTAGAATGATTTCCAGAGTTGTTGGTGGGCTAAAAACCCAATTCGGTCCCAAATCAGGTTCTGGATTCCTAGCTTAAATAGGCTAAAACCCAAACTTGGCCCATGCAAACCAGTCGGTAAAACTTCTTCTCACCATCGAGTCAGCAACCTAATCGATCATCGAGCTAAAGCTTTCAAGATTACAAAACCAAATCCTGAGAATCCCAATTTCCATCTTTAATATATTTTTTTAATTTCTTTTCTTCCCCGTTTTCTTTATGAAATTTAAACACTGAGAAGAAAATGCAGTCCATTGAAAGTATCACAGATTCCCCATTCACTCAAAACCCTAATAATTCTTCTTCTTCTCCTGTTAATGGGTTGTATGGGTGGCTCTCTGAATGTCATGGGTTTTGGCATAACTTAGCTCTTATTATTCCTTCTCTTCTCTTTGTTCTCTTCCTTGGTTTTCAAGCCAAAAAAAGCTTCCAAAAGCTCTCTCATGGCAGGTCTTATATCATGATTTCTTATTATGGTTGCCTTTGGCTCGTTAGCTTGCTCAATCTTGCTTGGTGTTGTCTTCAGGTTTGTGCGTTTTTCCTTTTCTTTTATTTTCTATTTTGATTTTAAATTTTGTGGCTTTCTTGAATTAGCTTATTGATGATTTAAACTTACTTTGTTTAAATG